AAAAAATGTCAGGATCTTATTAATTTCAAAGATTGGTCCACCTGAATCTTAGATTTGTTGTCTTTCTCATCCTGTTTTGGACTAACTCATTTAAACTCATAAGAGATTTGATTTAACAAAACCCAATACTTCAGAAGGCCATCATAAACTTATTTGTTATTATTCAGGACAATGACATACAGTGTCACCAACGTCATGGATACAAGTTTACTTTAAAACCTACTTTTCTCAGGACTCATCTTTCAAAAAATGTCGGGATCTATTTATTTTTGAAGATTGGTTAACCTGAATCTTAGATTTTTAGTATTTCTCATCCTCTTTTAGACTAACTCATTGACCTTCACAAGAGACTTGATTTAACAAACTCAATATTTTGGAAGGCCATCATATACTATTTGTTATTATTCGGGACAGTGACATGCAGTTTTACCAACGTCATGGATACAAGTTTACTTTAATACCTACTTTTCTCAGGACTCGTCTTTCAGAAAATGTCGGGATCTCTTAATTTTTGAAGATTGGTTAACCTGAATCTTAGATTTGTAGTCTTTCTCATCCTCTTTTAGACTAACTCGTTGACCTTCATAAGAGATTTGATTTAACAAAACTCAATACTTCAGAAGGCCATCATAAACTTATTTGTTATTATTCAGGACAATGACATGCAGTGTTACCAACGTCATGGATACAAGTTTACTTTAATACCTATTTTTCTCAGGACTCGTCTGTCAAAAAATGACGGGATCTATTTATTTTTGAAGATTGGTTAACCTGAATCTTAGATTTTTAGTCTTTCTCATCCTCTTTTAGACTAACTCATTGACCTTCATAAGAGATTTGATTTAACAAAACTCAATACTTTGGAAGGCCATCATAAACTATTTGTTATTATTCGAGACAGTGACATGCAGTTTTACCAACGTCATAGATACAAGTTTACTTTAATACCTACTTTTCTCAGGGCTCGTGTTTCAAATAATTCATAAGAGATTTGATTTAACAAAACCCAATACTTTTATGTACACAGGATATATTTCATCATTACTTTAGTAACCATGATTTATTTCATGCAAAATGATATTTGATTGAACGAAGGATTTGGATGTTTTGCCGTTCTCATGTATTTTTCTGCAGATAGAATATCTGTGAATTTTTCCAACATTTTTGTTGCTGTCATTATTCCAAAGAATCATTCGCCATATCTTTAATATTGTTTTATTAAAGTGGATCATCAGTAATACCAGTAACAAATTTCTTGGCCTAACAATCACA